CACACACACACACACACACACACACACACACTCACACACACACACACACACACACAAACAAACATACACATGCACAAACATGTTGTTTCCCAATGGGGAGGCGGTGCAGCATGGCTTTGTTTCATTGTTGTAATCCCAGGTTGATGGAGGAGGAGCAGCAGCACATGAGCCTACCCCACACAACAACTGGGGGCCTTTATCCACACAACCCGACACAAATCCAACACTTTCTGTTCGGAACTGTGCATTCACGTTATTTTGCAAGCACCTACTGCAGTTAGAATATTCGCTTATCCACTATTTAAAAAAAGTTAAACGACAACACATGGATTCAGACATGCAAATCACTGAAATTGAGTGAGAAAATTTGATTTTGTAAAATGTTTAAACTAGCCACTAGGGAAGACAATCACAGATAAAGGGTGAGGGTTGAGTCAGGAAGGGCATCTGGTGTAAAACACTTTGGCCAAAACAAACGAGAGTTCGTCCAAACAACACCGCACCGGGTCATTCGAGTCTAACTGAAATTGTGCCACTGTTAGTCAAAGGCCATGAGGAGGGAAACATGTCAGGAGACAGAGAGAGAAGAGAAAAGTCAAGAGTAGAAATGACAGGTAAAGGTAGAGAGCTGCTAACGTGATACAGAGAAGTGAGGTAGATGTTTTAAATGTGGAAGAACAGCAAGGCTCACAGCCTTAGAGCAGAGTTTAAGCTGTTTTATTTTCGATGGGGATAGGAAGAGAAGTGGAGTATGGGTGGTCCTGAAGGAAGAGTTTAAACTTTCTTTACATCTTTACTACACTAAATATAGTAAAGATGAAACGAGTGTCACCTAGAGCGATGTGTCTGAAGGTAGAAGGTGTTGAATGTTAGTGGTTCTCCACAGGTTGGATGTGAGGAGAAAGAGAAACTCTGGAAGGATGTAGGTGAAGAGACAGAGAGTATTCCCAGGAGGAGAGGGAGGTGACCACAGCACACCTGATTAGACATGTTGGTGAAGGAAACAGGAGATGAGGACATTATGGACAGGTTTGATGTCAAAGAAAGGAACCAGGGAGAACAGACGGTGATGGAAAAGAATGTAAAGATGGCAGTGTGTTTGATGACTCAACGCATTCTCATGCCCCCCACATCAACATATTGATGCAGGTAGCCATCTGCGTCAACTTTCGGACGTGCCGGGTAGCCCCTGGGCGTCCGTTCTTTACGAGATGAGGCGGAGGAGGATGAGCGCGTTGTCATATTTTTTACAAGAGTAGGAAATGAGCGAAACTAACCATCCCAGACATTAAATTTAACTTCTATTAGCCTTATACAGCCTATCCCTGAACACAGATCCTAAACTTAACCATTAACCCTGATCCCTCATATTAACCATTTTTTTAAATGTAGAGAATTCAGGAGAACTA